CCACGCTCGTCGCACAGGCAACGGAGAGCGACTTCGTCGTTTATATAATGATCACGAAGAGTTTCTGGCATCACGCAACCTAACGGCCACCAACTGCAAACCAACCGTTGACCCAGTTGGATAACGTGTCCATCAGCAACCGGTGGTGAGGCGTTCATTCTGGGGCACACAATTTGATTCCTATCACACCATGGTGCTTGCACGCCTGATAGTTCGTTTACCTTCAAACCCTCGCAAAACAGCAAGAAGCATGCTGATCCACCATCTTCGAAAAATTATCATAGCTTAGCGTTATCTGTCTGAGCTAGCCCAACAACTATCTACAGTAAACTAATACTGGTAGTGAGCATGTGGATGAAGCGTGGCAAAATGTGGAACGAGCTGTGCTAGCGGTGTACGGTGCTGTCTATCCGACTTCTCCGATACAATCAAACGACCACTGGATAGTAAGGAGATCTCTAGTTCCGATCGATATCGAGAAATCCATATCGGCAGCCAACGAGTACGACGGCGCACGCAAATCTCTCAAATGCCAAATAGTGAAGAGACTAAGGAAAGACTGAGATCTTCAGTGAATGTCGAAAGTCTGAGAGACGGAGAGGGATATAACTACCGGAAACAGCCGTACCCTATGCCAACCGATGGACAAGATGGCCCAAGTGGTTAGAGCGCGAATGTACTGACCTGAAGGCCCGCGGTTCAAACCCGACCTCCGCCTCTCCATTTCCCCTGTCTACGCTAGGGCAACCTGGCAGTATCCCTGTCCTCATTCAACCTTCGGATGGCATAGCAGTTAGGCACCGAAAGGGTGCTACAGCTGGACGGTGATTTCTGGTCTTATCCTTCGAGGGTTGACTGAACACAGAGGGAGAGATCCGTGAAATCCAAGTTGGGTTGTAATAGGATGCATCGAACATATTTTCACCCTCCAATAGATTCTGGAAAAGCGGCGCTGTTTTCAGCACCCAACAAACTTTGTCTTCCTTGACTTGAATGCTGCCTTCGACTATGTAGACTGTCAAGTACTACGGCAGTGTTTCTGGAGTAGAGGTCTCCCCATAAACTCCCCAACTCCCGGAACCAAGTGAAGGTTTACGGGAAGCTCTTGCCTGAGTTCACCAAATCAAGTGGTGTCAGACAAGGCTCTTCACCTTTATTTTTCCTCTTTGCTGATACGATTACGGAAGAATCACTGCCAGTTTCTGGTGCCTGTGGGGTCGCAGTGCGCCCTGGACATTCGCTCATAGATGTCGCGTACACAGACTACACAGCTATTCTTGGATCTGAAGCCGTCATAATGTAGAAAACATAAACTAATCTAAATAATTCTACCTCCCGGTTTGGTATGCGTCTTACATATGCGTAGTGTAGAGCGCTGCCGCAAGATTGTGTGGGCTCGAACCCTAGCCTCATGCTTGTGGATGAGCCCATCGAGGTAGCAGACAAATTTGTCTACTTGGGCAGCTGTATCAGTCCCGGCAGTCTCACAAAAATTTTTATATCCATCTGGATTGGGAAGGCCAGAGCAGCATTTGTGAACCTTGCGTCGGAGTGACACCAGCATATCCGTCAAGTGTTAAGTTCAGAATGCAGTAGTGCGCTCCATAATACTACACGGGTCAGAAACCTGGCCACTGCGCGCTGAGAAAAGTCAAAAGACTTCCAGTGTTTGACCATCGACGTCTTCGGAGCATTGCCCGAGTCTGCTGGGAACATCGGATCAGTAATGCTGAGATACGTAGAATGATTTTCGGAAGAAATAACTAACCCACGATAGATGAACTGATCACACTCCATAGATTGCGCTGGCTTGTTCATGTACTCCATATGCCAGTTGACCGGATCCCTCGGAGGCCTCTTTTCGCACAACCACGTGAAGGGTGGAAGTGAGCCACGGGAGGTCAAACAATGACCTGGTAGCGAAGTATGAAAGCAGTTACCAGCAAATTCAGTTGCGCTGGTCATCGTGGACTGGGAACTGAGGCAGGACACATCAATTGCTAGAGACGTTGTCAGACATGACCCAGTCGCGCCCTCAATGACGCTCGTGCATCCAAGCTATTGCCTTCAATACACAGCTCCCCTTCCAATCTCTCAAATTAAATATCCACTGACAACCCTGTATTCGCACACCAATTATATCAGCTACCGCCTCCAATGCGCAGCTACCTAGCCCATCTCCCCAAAGCATTGGTGAACGAAACTGTGGCAGCTGGAACCACTGTACGGCAAACGCGCGGTTCTTACATGTGATGATGACATTGGGGCTTAGTTAAACACAATGGGTATCCGCTTAAACTTGCGACCTGTTTCATCGACCCGTTATATGCAGTGCTCTTAACCGACTAAGTACTGCAGATACTATGCTAGTACACATTAGCTTCAGATGTGCTAGCAACTGGTTCAAGAACGCACCATTGTCTGTTGGCTTCTAGTAAACGGTAGTCTTCAATTTACCATAACTCTTGTGTTATTGAGGCTAGGAATGGTAGTGGACTCAAAATGGACTCTAGCTCCATACTAAACTTAAAGTTGGGATCCAATCGTTCAGCTGTAACACCCTTTAGTGCCTAGCTAACATGCCACCCGAAGGAAGTACGAGGGTTGGGACACTGCCCGGTTGCCCAAGCCTAGAAAAGGGAAGTCAAGAGGGAGAGTTCGGGTGCGAACCACGGACCTTCGGATTAGTCAATTCTGAAGGCACGACTCACCTGTAAAGTGACTGTTCACAAGGATCTTGTCCGCATATCCAGTGGTTCGCTCCTCAAGATAATCCAGAGGGAATCTATACCAGCGTTTCAAAGTGGTTTTCCGGTCAGTCAACAGTTGATCTGGGAAATGGCAATAGAATAAAGTCTACGGTATTACATACAAATATGATTGAAGATCACCTTGAAACCTGTTAACCGAAGTAAGGTTAACGGAGCAGAAATCTGGTCGACGAAGACAAGATCGTTCTGGCGATTACACGTGAAAACCAGATAGACCGAGGCAAGCAAAAGCCTGATGTACGCACATAAGGCAATGCAGCGACCAAAAATTGACCGAGGGAACCAACTTCCGGAAACGATAACATTCAGCTCACTTTTAAGGGTCTCCTCAAAGCAATGCATGGGGTCATGGTGATTGGTAATTATTTTCACATTATAACCGGACTGGAGTACGGCCACAGCAGCATCAACAACTAAGCGTTCGGCTCCTCCAATACCTAGATCAGGATGCAGAAACACTATGCGTTTAGCCATCCAGACAAACGCACAAATGTGACGAGCACTGGAGCTGAAAAGAGCGGAGTTTACGTAAGTGATGCAGTAATGTGCACTATACGGCGAGACAATTCAATAGAAAGAACGAAAAGGTTACAGTGCCTCTTCTCTGGGGGTTTCGTGGGTGGATGCTCCCATCAGTCGGTGCATATATTCAAATCGTTTCACATTGTGACTTTGCGTAGTCAAACAGAAACGTGTGATTTTTGAATTTCAGTCATCTCATGCCACCGTGAATATCAGTAGTGACGTGCGCGACCAACAAGTTGTAGCCACAAATAAACATAGTTGACAAACTATTGTTGTTCGGCGGCCAGCCATCCCTAATAAACGAACATCACACCATTTGGACGGATGTCGCGTGCAGGAAACGGGCCAAACGAAGGCGTCTCCTGATTGGTCAGAATGCCAGCCAATCCGGGCCGAGCATCCTTGACTGAACGCTTCTCGCCCCCTCACGGTGCTTCTAGCAGGGCCATGTGGAACACTGTGACTACCCTATAAATACAGTTGTAATAATTTCCCTTTGTTTCCATAAAGGGCTGTGTAGAGCTACCGTGCCTCTTAAAATACCGTAGTGGGTGGGGCAGGAAGCCAAGGGACCGATACAAAGTCGCACTACCATCCACCAAGTCACAACAACTGGCGACAACCCGAACCCACGATGTCAATTTCGGCAGAGCAACTCCAATTAATTTTAAAGCAACAACAGAAGCAGTTCGAGGAAGCTCAAACGAGGCTGGTTGAATCTCTGATGCGCAGTATGTCGGTGAATGCGACAAAAACAGTTGAGCCTCCGTTTTTTCCGCAGATGCTGCTGCCAGTTCGACTACGGGATTCAATTTTGATGCTGAATCTGGAAGAACTTTCAAAATTTGGTTCAAGAAGTATGAAGACGTTTCAAACCGACTTTGCTCAGTTTGATGACGCATGGAACGTTCGACTGTTGCTGCGGAAACTGGGTCAGTTGAACACGATCGGTTCACAAATTTCATACTCTCCAAACTCCCCCATGACCTTGGTTTCGCGAAAACTGTCAAAATTCTGACCCAAAAATTTGGTGGGGAAAGTTCGTTGTTCAATATTCGTTATCAGTGTCTCAAGATTACCAAAAGGGATACTGAGGTTTCATCACATATGTCGGTGTGGTCAACAGAAAAGGCGAGCACTTCCAGCTCAGCTCCATGACCGAGGAGCAATTCAAGTGTCCCGTCTTCGTGGCTGGCCTTCAATCGCCACACGATGCAGATATTCGAACCCGGCTACTGAATCGAATTGAAAAGGATCCAGAGTTGACGCTTCATAAACTTACCACCGAATGCCAGCATCTTATCGGCTGAAGCCTGCAATATTGGACATTCCAAATTTTCTCAGCCGTATACGGTATGCAAAGTAACTTTTAAAATGAAGTCAAATTGTGCAAACGTTGGCATATGTCATCGCGGAGACGAAGATGGTTAGTGGTACTGGTAGTTACGTCTTGCCAAGTTTGGATGTAACTAGAACGCTGGGTCTGAATACAGATCTGCATAGGGTTCTCTGTAGGCCTCAGATAACACTGCTCTGTCACTCTTGTGTTTCCTGTCCCTGTCCCTCAAGGAAAATGCAGTTAGTTTGTTTATGCGGCGACGTACCATGTATTTAATTAGCACATTTCTGGTTTTCCGGGCTAGTTCTGGAAAGGTGGCTTGCTTTCGTATAATCCACTGTCGGATTTCGGATTTACAGTGGTTCGCCAGCTACTCGTCTGTGCCTCCTTTTATCAGCCTTTTGAAAACTATCTGAGACTTCATTTCCAGAAGATGCCGAATCATTTTTGGTAGCTTGCGATCCATCCGATCGCGTGCTGTTTTTTCGGGATGAAGTTCGGGTCATCCTGGTGAAATTTCCGGACAATGTTTCCTTATTACTCTAACCCTGATCGATCCCGGTTTGGAATGACCAAGAAAGGTACGCATTTGTGAGAAGTCTTTACGGCATAAGTTTTGAATCCACGATTGTGGTTCGGGTTTCTGGCACAGTAGCAGATGAAATCAAAGATCAGCACAAAGTGGTCACTGGGTCTTAGTGGAGCGTTAATTGTAACCTGATCGACGGAGTGTCTCGTTGTTTATAACCAAATACAGGAGGAATGATAGTTGTGTGTACGGAAAGAAAAGTAATTGTCACTATACTCGGATCACAATTTTTCCGCACCACTCACAGTTTCGGGCCAACGGACTGAAATCAGAGAGGCGGAGGCCTTCAATGATTTTGGCTCTTGATTTGGCGGTCTCCATTGAAACCCTGCCAGAATGTGTTACAGGGGCTCTGAACGGCATGCGTGGAACGCGGATCCGAATCCAAATGGTTGTGCCTACAAGTAGGTCAAAAGTACTATTTAACCACGAAATCTGAGGTGATTGCTGGAGAGGTTGAATTGGTGGGATGCGTTTGGTCCTGGGGAGAACAATTTGGACTCTGTTGGAGGATGGGTATTGTGGTGAAGAAAATGGAGGGAGCAAAATTGTGTCAGGGAGATAAACTGATACCAACCCATATGGGAAGCATTTCAAGTCACAAACTTTTCAGTGTGCGTCCCCGCTCCAGGACAACTGACGCACTGGTGATTCAATTCTGTCAGTAGTCGTAACGGCTTTTTGTGGGCGGCAGCATGTTCAATAATGCCGTTCATAGCCGTGGAGAAGGTAGATGTACACATCATTATCCGCTCTAAAAACCGCACACTTGTCCTACAGTGGTTGTAGGTGCCACGGTTCCTATCAGCGATGATTTGGGCAGGTGGGGTAGATAGCTGCGCACTGGAGGCGGTAGCCGACGTAAGTGACATGAAGATACAGGGTTGTCAGTGGAAATTTTACTGGGGGCATTGCGAGGGTAGCTGTGCATTTTGGTAACTTGGATGCATGAACCCCGTTGAAGGTGCCAATGGGTCACGTTCGATAACGTCTCCAGGTTTTGATGTGTCTCGTTTCGGGGTCCTCATCCACGGAAGCGACAATGACCAGCGCAGCTGGGTTTGTTGGTAATGACCATTCTTTGCTGCCAAGTATGGCTTCCCATGGCTCGCTTCCACCCTTCGCGAGACTGTGCAAAAAGAACCTTTCGAGGAAGTCGGTCAACGGACATACGGAGCACGTGGTCCAGCCGGCGCAACCCATAGAATGTGATCCCTCCCCCTACTTTGGGCGAGTTGTCCCTCCCGAAGACCATTCGCGGCAATTCAGCATCACTGATCCGGTGTTCCCATCGGACTTGGGCAATGCCCTGAAGGTATCGATGGTCAAAAACTGAAAGTCTTTTGACGTCCCTAGCGTGCGGTTGTCAGATTTCTGACCAGTGTATCAATAGGGAGCGCACGGCAGCATTGAAAACTGGACACTTCACGGATAGGCTGATGTCACTACACGCTATAAACGGTGCGGGTTCACGAAAGCTGCTCTGGCCTTTTCAACCTGGATGGCAGTATCATTTTTCGTGAGGCCACCGAGTCCGACAAAGCTGCACAAGTAAAGAAATCGCCTGCTAACTCAATTGACTCATCCGCAAGCTTGAGGTTAGGGTTTGAGCCCTCCCATTATTACAGTCGCACTTTAGACTCTACAGGTGCGAGGCGCATGTCACATCTGGGAGCGCTTCGACCCCACGGGCATTGAAGGCTTATAGTTAGTCTTCCATCATCGTACCAGTGACGAAGTTGAATAGGCACCACTTGATGTAGTGAGCTTGAACAAGGGCTTTCCGCAGACATTCACACGTCCACGGGAGTCAGCCATATCGTCTTCAAGAGGTTCTTTGTTCTACAAACACCACCATAGTTTCTGACTCTCCACAGAGTAAAAGGCAGCTTTCAGATCAAGGAACACAAATTCGTTGGTTGCTGTAACAGTGTTGCTGTTTCAAAACCTGTCAGAGAGTGAGGATGTGATCGATACGCCCTCTTGCAGGACGGAGCGCGGCTTGCTTTTCATGGAGCTGTCTCCTTCTATTTTCAGTCAGCCTTCGAAAGATAAGCCCAGAGGGCACTTCCGATGCCGCAGCTACCCAGGCTGATGTTCGGTAGATTTGGTGCAGCGTTCGCATACCCTTTTGAAAGATAGAAATAACTGTCAACGTACTCCATTCTGCAAGCACTTTCTTTTCGCTCTATATTGCACTCATAAGCCTTTTAGGTGGATCATCAGGGAATCTCCACTACTTTGATCAGAGCTGGATACAAACCATCGAACTTTCAACATAAACGTTCGTACCGCCTGACTTGGTGGCTGCCAACTGCAAACCAACCGTGGACCCGGTTGGACCACGTGGCCC